AGGGGGGAGAAACAAACCTTTAATCCATTACCTTCAAGGAGAAAACTGTGATGACAAACATGAGAGAAAGGCCTGTTCAAAAATAAGCAGAGACAGCTTTCCTTTATAAAGACCAGCAGATTCAGAGCTCCATTAGAAGCAGCCCAGTTCTGTCAGCAGCCATTCCAAGTGCCTCAGGGACGGAGAGAACTGCAGGTATGTACCTCTGCATTTCAATTTACCTAAGGGTTCTGATTTTACTTCTCAGAAGGGCTGTCAGATGCAGGCCGACAACCGTTACACTGCCCTGTAGAGAAATGCAGACCTGAATTCCCAAGACAAATCAAGCTGTGGATCATGGTACCAGGGAACCAAGAAAAATACAAGTTCAAAAACTTCTCAGTTTGCCAGGGAGGTGAAGAGTTTAGAGCAGGGATGAATTACCAGGTGACACCGGTTTTTATTATTTCTATTTGGGTGGCATTCAGAGGACCAGACTGAACTTAGAGCTCCAAGGCTTCCTGTATTTCTGCATGGTGCCTTGTAGAGCAGAACCAAGCCCAAAATCCAGGCTGACATTCTTTCCCCTGCCAGTGCCCTGCGTATAGCAGCCACAGGTTAATGAGATCTTCCAACCTCAAGACTTTCAACCTCAAGACTTGGAACACCAAGAGAACACTTCACCCAACAGTTTTCAGACCGCTAATGGCAAGTACTTTTACAACCTATTAATAACAGTTCATTACACTTCAAAAAATAAAAGTGGAATATAATGTATTTATACCCTTTCCTCCTATGCCACAGATGAAGCATATTTTGCCTCTGTGCAACTCCTGTAAACTATGTAAGCAATTAAAACTTTTTTAATGCAGATACATTTTACTCTCGAGGTAAAATCTGCAGTCACAACATTTAATTATCTTGAAAGAAAATTAATCCTCCTACCAACCTTTCTTTTTCTAAAACCTTGGCAGAGTATCTGGACTACAGATATTTATATACAGATATTTATTAATGGAAAGCAAATGTGGTTAAAAGATCCTGTTATTTTTTCCCAATGGATAAGTACAAAAGAACTTCAGTTATGGAAACAGGAGTCCATGTTCTTTCATTATGCCTGGAGAGCACTTCACCTCTGCCACACTTTATATAAATCCATTATGCAACATTACGCATTTCAAATAATAACATTTTATCCATTCACCGATTTCATGAATTTCTTCTAGTACATTTACTTGCATTAACTCTTTTTCAACTAAAAAGTACTCATCCAATATTTTCCAACAAAGTGTGCAAGGACCACAGTGAGACCTCTGCCTACAATGCCACACCACAGAAAGTCCTGCTGTATCGAAAGCTGCTGCTATGTGGAAACACTACACTAATGTATATTAGCATGTTGCCATACAAATAAAAGCATGAGCATCCAAAAACTGGTAAATCACTACTTCCAGAATAAGTACCATGAGCGGTTCGTGCTGGTTTGGGCTGGGAGAAAGTTAATTTTCTTCACAGTAGCTGGGATGGGGCTGTGTTTCAGATTTGCGCTGGAAACTGTTGACAACACGTGAATGTCTTCGTTACTGCTGAGCAGTGCTCGCACAGGGTCAAGGACTGTTCTGCCTCTCAGCCCACTCCACCAGCGAGCTGGCTGGGAGGGCACAAGAAACTGGAAGGGGACACAGCTGGGACAGCCGACCCCAGCTGACCCAAAGGACATTCCAGACCATATGGTGTCATGCTTGGCACGTAAGGCTGGGGGGAAAGAAGGAAATGGGGGATGTTGGGAGTGATGGTGTTGGTCTTTCCAAGTAACTGCTGAATGTGATGGAGCCCTGCTTCCCTGTGGGTGCCTGAACCCGTCTGCCATGGGAAGTGGGGAATTAATTCCTTGTTTTGCTTTGCTTGTATGCATGGCTTTTGCTTTGCCTGC